AGCTAAGCAAGTACATCCCATCTTTGTTTTTACTGACCTTCAACCTTCCAACTTGGTTCCAACCTCTTTCACCCTTACACTAATCAAACCATTACCTGACACTGTACGTTTCGTTTTGAGGCGGGGCCACAGCCGTAGTATCGTACCAATAGAGGCCCCACAGCGAATCCTTGCAATAGTTGGCAAATTGCAACGGACGGGCATGTACATTTTGCTGCGTTCCTACGCTGGTCCTACACCCAATCATCGCCTCACGCGAGCGACGTCCTATGTCACGGTCTAACCTACGTACAGCCCAACTACCTCAATCAAACCGCGCATAACATCTCCCAACGTGCGCATCGATCGTAATACTACACTTCCAACACAACGTTCAAATAGTCCTCATGTCTACGTCAGCAATGATCAAAAGAATGAATAACCGAAGTACGGCACATATAAATAAAAAGGAAACATTCAAACACTTCAATAATTGAATACTACGACGGCGACCAATAAACCTACGCGTCGAGGCTCAAACCGGAACCGTTATAGTTTACGAAGGGTGACGTGACCGCTCAACGCCTTCGGGCTTCAATGCCCAAGTCGATCACTACGCATTGGTCGTATTGCTTCATATCTTCGTCCTCAAGCAAAATCCAACGGCAGAACGACTTGGCAGTGGCAGCCGGTTTCGACGACGACAGTAGGCACTCGGACCAGTGTTTTAGCACACGTCTGCTCTAGCCGACGCGCAGACGCCGATACGCTGTTCGCGCCGGGACCCCCGCGCGCCCTACCAGGCGTGACTCTTTGAGAAGTCGGGCGTAAGCCACGACTAGTAGAAAATGGTGGTATGACGCTCGTTTTGTCGTATCATTGATGGCAAAGTTGCGAAAGCGCACATGGATACCCTTGTTTACTCATGTGTTGATTGCTTGGGGAATTTTCCAGAATTTCATCACCCTTGCTTGCACACAATTTCCAACTTTTCGATTTCTTTTTCGCAGAACTCTTTACCAAGCTACTCTCTCTAATTAGAAACGTGTAACTTGTATGCGTGCGGTCATGTTTCTTACTTTCACCCAAACCGCAGCCCAGCGGAATCGATATTGTTTGCGAGAAATGACGGAGTAATGATTAGTCTTTGTTCACCTATATCACCTGTTGCTCCGTTGATAATCGATTTTCTCGAGGTGGCGCCAGTGACGCCCTCAATACTGTCGCGAGAGAGAAGTCCAGTGGATCGCTCTCAATATAGGAACACGATGCACAGCATTCATTCCGTTCAAAGCTTTGTGAAGTTTGACCATTGACCGTCTTTGTGTTCATTCAACTTCCCGAGAGATCCAGTCAGTAACTGCCCTGGTCGACCAGTCACCACAATATCGTATAATGTGTCCGGCCCGAATGATCTTCGATTCCTTGACGTGAGCAAGGGCGGTTCTGATCCTCGGTCGCTGAAGGAGCTCGGAACTCCTGATTCCTTCTGCACTTTCGTGTGTAGGAAAATTCCGAGCATTGCTCTTTCCAGGCGCTTTGGATGACACTGATTGCATGTCCATCCTGTTTTCGTAGAACCAAGTCTCCGAGGATCTCGCTCTCGGACTGAAAAACAGTTTTCCGTCTTTGCCACAGGCAGTATGCAGGGATTAACGCATGCTCAACTTTCAGAGCAGTTTGGAGGGCAGAGGTCTACAATTACGAATATTGTTGGAGTAATTAGTTCTCGCGGAAGCCCTATCAAACCCGCCAGCACGGCTTACCACTTCTGCGCACGATTGGAAGATCATTCGTGAGTCGCGTTAAGATCCCGGGCGAATATCTTCCGATATATCGACCGGAATGTTGACGACGGTGACACCGCTACCAACTCAAAAGACCATCAGTTGACGCCTGCGCGAAGCAGGATTATATGGAACAAGACAGTAAAGGACCTCGGGTTGATTTCTCTTAAAAACAGACGAGCTCGACTCAAATGGGCGTGCATGCACCTCCACTGAACACTCAACCAATGGCGTGAAGTTATCTGGAGCGATGAGTTAAAGTTTGCTTTGTTCGGTACATGTGGGCTTTCGTTTGTTAGACGACCTCGCAGCACTAGATTCGACCCCCAATACCAAATACCAACTGTCAAGCACGGTGGCAGATCAGTGTTCGTATGGGATGATTTCAAGCTGAGGCATGGGGCCTCTACACTGCATTCCCACCACTATAGACAGCAGATGTACTAGACATCTTGTAGAAATGCATACTCCCTTTCGCCCGTCGTGTGCACGGCAGAAAATTTACTTTTCAGCGAGAGAACGACCACAAACACAGATCTAGAAGGGTGCGCAAGTGGCTGACTCATCGGAAAATTCGATGCCCCGGCTGTCCCGGTCAGTCCCCTGACTTTAAATTCATTGAACCCTTGTGGAAGGTACTCAAGAAAAAGATAGCCGATGAAATTGCACAAATGCTGCTGACAGCTTTGCCCAATGTGAAGAAAAATAGAAGAACTGGATCAGTACATGGTCGACAAGATGGTGGAATCAATGTCCAGCGGATGCCAAACCATCATCGATGACAACAGCTTCGCTGCAAAGACTAGTGATTAATTAGTTTTCAATCTCATGATGATTGCCTTTGAGTCAAGTGATATAGTTTAAATTGTTGACACTGTCCTGTTCAGAAAAATGTGAAAAGTGGCCTTTCAAACGAAATAAAAAGTAGATCCGTGAGGTCTGTGATGGGAACGTCGAAAATCTCTGCTGTTGCCGACATATAAGCAGTCAAAAAGATCGAGTTCGTGATGAATTATAGCAAAAAAGGTCCAAGGTGACTCCTTTTTGAACGGTACTCTAAATATAATTAATATCCAAATACACATGCACATATACACAAAATTACAAATACACCCACACATTTACACGTACACTTACAGATACACCTAAACTTACAATTACAGACATAGACAGACAGACAGACAGACATACACTTTACACAACACGTACACTTACAGATACACCTAAACTTACAATTACAGACATAGACAGACAGACAGACAGACATACACTTTACACATACGCACGTGCACACGAACACACACGCAAACTTACATACAACACACAAACACACCCACACATACGCATGTATCGCCTTCAGTAGGGTTTAATTAGACTTCAAATGAAAGTTTTAATCGCTCCTGAATATGCCATTGCTTATTTAGGAGCACTAATTAAGCTGTAGTTAGCAATTCACCTTCACTTGCAAATCCGAGTTTAGCTGAGGTTGTGACCAAAGCGACAGCTTGTCACTGATTAATCAGTCAAATTAGTAACAGTTCTCGAGTGCACTTTTGCTATATGTAGGCTATTTTAATCGTAATTGCTTGTTTATTCTGCATATTGTTATTTTGAAGATTATTTTTGCAGATACGCCATTCTGGGCTCCTGAGAGCAAGATGATATCCATGAGAGATTTAGGGTAATTTTGAAAGTTGATGTTTCAGGCTTTCGACACTGAAAAACACCTCTCAATCGAAGAAAAAGAGTTTCGCTCGCAAATCATGGAGGCGTTTGATAGTTACAACGGCGGTATGCAATTGTGTTATGAGTATGCGAGATGAATCTTGTTCATCAAATATGGATCCTCACGTTCACGCGATATGAAGGAGATTCTGAACGTACAAAACGAATCCCTCGCTCCCCTGTGATGAGGGGAGCCCATAATTTCACGACTACCCACTATACATTGATTGCACTGTCTGTCACAAAAAAAGAAAATGGTAAGGACATCAACCCTCGGGATATGCAAGCCTGGTCATGTAGTCCTCTCCATCTTCTCCGAAAAATTTTCGAGAGGATAGAGATAGAGGCGTGATCCTATAATCATGAGACTATCTTCAGTACTAGCCAGTGGATGGACATAGGCTTTTCACTTCGAAACCCAGTAAATTTGGTTCGGTGTTGGTTTCTTCCACAGTTGAAAACTTTATAGCTATCAGTGCCTATAAACTGTCATCAATTTGATCTCAGGCAGGCTGATCGACTTTGCGGAACCGCCAAGAAGTGAATTGTGGAGGTCACGGCTATATGGATTTTGGCTTTTTGAGCGTTTCCACATAATTTCCACGTCTTTTGTGGCATATCTGTTTGCATATCACAATATCAGCGGTTTCTTATATTTGTGAAACTTTCAAACGGAGCGCGACATAATTCCCAGTGATAAGGAATGGGTGCTACAAGCTTATTATGAGCACAACTAGTTGAGACAACCCTACATGATCCAATAGTTCCTGAACCGAAGTAGATTTCACACAGAATGGCGTCTTCTTAATTACCGGTAGAGAAAAAGGGAGTTTTATGGATGTCAAAGACTCATTCTCTAGCTCGGCATCTTATTAGCTTCGTTCTTCCCCTAGAATGAGAGGGATTACAAGTCTTTTGTTTACAACCCTGCTCGAAACATCTTTCTAGGGCTCGATTTAATTTGGGTCAAAAGTTTTGTCGAATGCCCTTGAACTATCATTCCACCCTAGAACATTTCTAACGCTTCGACGATTCATATCACGCCTAACTTCAGCTACTGAAAGACCAAACGAGAACGTGTAAAGCATGATGACGCAAGAATCGGGCTCATTCTCGTAAGCTCTGCATGCCTGGTGATCCAGCCGGTGCTAAAATAAACGGACCTTCGGTCAAGATTAACAGTAGATACTCGGCAAGCGTGGAGCGTTCTGGGTAGAGAATTAGTTGTGCCATCATAGCCCATTCTTGGAGCAAAAGACTATGATGAAATGATCAGAGATAGGATTTGAATTGGTTTGGGAAGCGTATCGGTTAATATGAGTAAAACGCTTGCCGAAATGGGGTGACAAAGCTGGGCTCTTCATTGATCATCACAACATTCGGTAGAAGCTCGCAGTATACAATTTCTGTTATCTATAATACTACTAGCAAACGTTTTTATGCATGAGTATTGCCCTTGACTGCTGAATTTCCTGGGCCACCAACTATGGAAACCTATGAGTGGATCGTTTTACACACCTTTTCCCATATCCACTGACTGAAGAGTATATGCTTTTTGGCGCTCGAAGAAAAGTTAGAAAATGGTTATATATAGTAACCGATGAACGGCCTAGCTGCAAAGCTCAGCACTAGGAAACGCATGGCGTGGGGAGCATCTGAAGATATTACAGAGGTGAGGGTGACAAAGAAGATCCGACTTGTGCTAATCTTTTCAACACTGCTCTTTCCTGCTTTGACTTACGCTTCGGAAACTGGGACTCTGCGAAAGCAGGATGAATATGCTGTCGGAGTCATTCAACGCTTCATGGAAAGGACGGTGCTCGGGATCTCTTCATTCACGGATGTGCAGAAGGAAATCCGCATTTCCGAGCTTCTCAAAGAACGAAGACCAGGGATGCCGTTGGTTACGTCAAGGAATCTATGACCAGGTGGGTCGGACCCATTGTGTGTCCTACACACTGATCTTTGTACCAGACGTTTACTGACTTGATCCCCGGGACATCAAAAGGAAAGCAGGTAGACTCCTGAACAGACTCTTCACGAAAGCTCTGAACGAAAGGAATGCTGTGCCTCGTGTCCCAAGCAAGGCCAATCCCATCCACGGGACCTTTTTGGATCGCGACGGACGAATGGAGACTTTACTGACGCCGAATTCGGTGGTCAACGGGACAAACTGAGTATCTCACCTGATCCACTGGCTTCACAGATCTTCACAGAAACTGTGCATCTCATTGGATCTGTGAAGCCTGTGGATCCGGTGAGATGCATTGCTTTTCGAACTCGTTGGTATTCTGAAATGAAGCTGACATAGTTTCATAGACGTAAATAGAGAAATTGTGTGGAATTTCCAGAAAATGCAAATTGAGTGTCAGTTGCTGTCGGTTTAAATTACATGAAAACAATTGGAAATGGTCCCTTTGTCGCTCCACATAAGATGGCAGTTTTATAGTACCCGCCATACTTGGTTTGGAAACAGTTGTGATCAGAATGAGAAGAATTCGCAAGCTCCTATAAAGACGAACTGGTCAGACAGAGATTAGGCAAATTTGGGCTGACGTTCCTAACGTTTGCTTGTTGATAACGGCCGCTATAATTTCCATTGTCCTACATTATATTGATGCTTGTGCCTAGAGATTCGATGAATCTCACCTCTTACCGATTTTTGGTTGCTGCAATTGTCGGAAGCGTGCTGACCAATAACCGCGTTTTTAGTTTTTATTTTTTCACCCTGCTTTTACATTCATTTCATTTACTCGAAAGTGCAAAAGCATGTTCAGACTCGCTCATACGAAGAATTGCAGGAACAGTCTACCCACGAAGCAGCACAAATTCAGTGATTGCCGGATGTGACAAAGTGGCCCCAGGGTACTTCAGCTATATAGATAAACATGGCTGTCTAAGGTAGGTACTACTTCCCCTTGGTGATCGTTTTTGCCTTCAAAAACGATCACCGAGAGGAAGTAGTCATTCTCACATGTTAATTAGTGGTGTGTGTATAGCACCATTCTCAGCAATCCAGGGTGCGTCATAATTATGGCGACAGCACAGCACGGCTCACACTTTTCGAACCGCTTTTCAAAATCACTGTTTTTGTCTCTGCCTCTCTCACTACTTTAATGTTGATCTGACCATACCCAAACTATTTGACCGCTCAAATTTATTATTGCCACAATGGTTAGGCCATCCTGCTACCGCTCTGCGATAATGAAACTTCATCTCGAAGGAGTTTCGGCACCCGAAATCCATCAGCGTCTACGGTGCAACAGTGATGCAAGGAAAACTTCTCCGACGTAATCGCTTTTAACGAGTGGCCGGCTTGCTCTCCGGACCTAAATCCCATGGACTATAGTGTGTGGGTAGTTCTGGAGGCAAAGGGTTGCTCGAAACCTGATCGCTCTGTGGGTCCGCTGAAAAGAGCTCTTGGGAAGGCGTGGGACAAGCCCAGCGTGCGATGCTTGCGTGCCACCGTCGATGCTTTCCCTGAGCATCTCAAGGCTTGCGTTGAGGCCCACGGAGGAATTTTCGAGATCCATTGAATGTTTTTAATTTTGAAGTGAACAGTAAACGTTTCATTGGTCCATTGAATAAACGTTGATTCATTGGAAGTTCGCTAAAATTGTAAACGAGTCGTTCGAGACGAATCAAATACCTTGTCGCTATAATTTTGACGCACCCTGTATATGTTGTAGCACAGTAGCTGTTAATCTAGTTTCACTGTACTATGCAACCAGTCGGGTCGCCCGGATTACGCCCAACCCCATCCCTTATTGCTATGAAGTCTAACTAGAAAGTGTAGTTAAGGGTGGGGTCAGGGGGGAGGGGCACTGATTTTATCCAACACTGAGGGCTAGAGTGCAGAGGAGGGGTAGCCGCCTTGACCTGAACTTAGAAACAGTTCTAGGAGAAAGAATATGGTTTCAGGCTGAGCCTCAGTATGTGAGGGCGGAGTGGGGGTGAGATGATTACCTCGTGCAAAAAGCCAGAATGGGGTATGAGTTGAATATTCAGTTGACTCACCCACCCCGATACCCCTTCCCTCCCTAGAGCTCAGATCAAAAAACTGTATGTTCTCGGCTGAGAAACGTTAATGAGCATAATTATGGGCTATCCTTCTTAAGTTGAAATTATGTTGAAAAAAAGCGGAAGTCTCCCAACTACATTATCACCTCCGATTTTTGTAAAGACATGCATAGCACAAAGCAAGCCTGCAGATTGAAATCACAGTTTTGAAGCACCCACTCCACTCCACATCACTCACTTCACTCCGCAGTACTCATTTTACTCACCAAGTTACTTTTTTATATATAGGAAGGAAGTGTAGAACAGAGCAAGGTTTTCATATCACTACCTTTATCGTAATAATAAGCTTTGGGGACGGACAGACCGACACATGGGCACACCGACAAATTTATAAACCGACGCACCAAGTTTCTGCTTTACAAATTAGAGAGATACCCACCTTACCTGTCCGGAAGATCACGATAAAACGCGATTTCGCTTCTTCACTTTCCTATATAGGCTATATGGTTCAACTCAGACTGTCGAGCTCTATAAAGTGGTGTCCAGAACATTTTCAAAAGCTTCATATTGAAGTCCTCCATCCGTCAAAGATCCTTAGGATACGTCATTAGCAACGACGCCTGCTATAAATAAAATACGGAAGCATTCTCTTATATGGAAAGTAGTCAGTGAAACGTGGAGTGGCCAACATTTCTGACATTAGGTGAACATTAGACCATGGCATTCTTCCTAGTGAAGTAATTCCTGGAGAATAGGCATACCACTCACTGAGAATAGAAATAAGCTCATATAGGGTATATTTCATTTCAAACAGCCTCTGTCATTTGATTTGACGCATGGCCAGGTCCATTCATTCATTTCAAAGAAAACTTATGTCGAAATGATCAGGACGATAGAAGGAGGAATACCAAGGGCTGAAGTTTATCTAATGTTGGGAAATATTAGCTGCTTCACGTTTCACTGACTACTTTCCATATAAGAGAATGCTTCCGTATTTTAATTATAGCAGGCGTCGTTGCTAATAACGTATCCTCAGGATCTTTGATGAATGGAGGGCTTCAATATTGAGCTTTTGAAAACTTTCTGGACACCCCTTTGTAGAGCTCGACAATCTGAGCCTAAACCATATAGCATACTATATAGAAAAAGTGAAAGCCAACGTCCTTACAGAGAAAAAAACGAAGAAAACGCGAAATCGCGTTTTTTCGTGTTTCTTCGAACAATAATAGTGGGTATAGTAGTGCTTGAGGAGAAAAGCACAGAATAATTTTGGTAGTTGACCATTTTGGTAATTGTTTATCCTTACTATGTACAGCAATCCCGCGTCTGTCTCTCTGTCTCTTTGTTCCTTCTAAAATTTGATGTTACCTGGAGAACCTTTCCCGCGGAAGATGTCCACCTACGATGAGCCGGGCATGCGTTCATATAGGAACGACTCCTCAAAAAGATTATAACTCTGTTCAAAAGCGTTTTAGAAAGCGAAAAGAAAAATAATTAGGATTCAATAAAAGAGTTCTAGAGTCGGCGGTGTCTGCATATGATGGGCGGGGCTAAGATCACTAAGTCACAACTCTGTCCAAAACTTTCTGGGACGCGGGAAAGAGGTGGGTAGAGGTAATAGAAGGAATGTGTCCGAGCCATCAAGGTAGGCTGGCTTGCGCCGAGTAGGGTGGAGCTGAAATCAGAAATGTATAATTCTGGTAAAAAACGTTCTAGAATTCAAAAAAGTGCCTAAAGGCTGTCGAAGGGAAGATGATCAAATTTCCCTTGTGGGAAATCGTTTAATGTACGAAGCCATCATCATTACGTAGTTTCTACAGAGTGATCATCATCACTTACTATACATAAAGGATTCATTTCTGTGTATCTCTTTGCCCTGGTTTTCGGTATTACATGAAGACGTCGGGTCAACCCTAAAAGGGCTGGGACTTTGGACAAGATCAACCGATCGCATACGAGCTCAGGGGAACGCCGCTCGAAGCGGACGGAACATTCATCGGAATTGGCGGTGCCATGAGAAAACTTCGTAATTCAGATCCAAAAATCTTCAAGTGGTCCAGACACTGGGAAAAAGGGGAAAACGTCTGGAATTGGTCAAAAAATCAGACGAAGGCTTATTCGAGGTGAACTGAGCCTTCCCAAGGGTTTTGCAAAGCTCACAACTCACAACACCTTATAGCCAGATTCTCGACGTGACGTTTTAATAAGACGCTTCCCACTGAAATATTCCTTAATAAGTTGCCCTTCAACTATCAAAAGTCCCGTAAATTTTTACGTCAATGTTGCGTGTGGCTATTCTGCTCGTGTTCTTTTATCACAAACATTTTTTTTTATTTAAAGGAAAATTGATAGAAATGTAGGGAGTCTACCAATCAATAGTGGGAGCTGCTAGCTGCAGCAATTGTTGGTGCTTTCCTTGATAATACCTACCACCTACGATTCGCAGTGTTGAGCTTACTCTTCTCGCAGAAATAGATATTCTTTACAAATAACAAAATGCCACTAGTGCTAATGCAGATTGTATGGCGCAGGCATGATTTGATATGTGGAGGAGTAACGAAATTGTTATTTAAGAGGTCCCTTCTCGGCGGAACGCATGCAACGGTGGTACGAGGAAGGATTTTTTGCTGACGACTTTGAAGTCTTCGCCCATCGCGGCCGTGTTGCTGATAATTTCACTCTCGGTAAGCGTTCATGCAAGCACTGGACGCCAAAAGACACCAAAATGGAATTCAAATAGAGGTGTTTTCGAGTTTCTACTGAAAATTGGTTATCAGTGGAAAACCGTGATTTTTTTGCGGATCAGCTATCGTTATGACCTGTAAACCGTACTAGGAATCTTATGGACCTCAACGCGCTCGTATGCATGGCTCATCTTCCTGTATCAGTCATTGTGAGCTTACTGCCCAAGTTTCCAAAAAAAATGCCGTTTTATTTTCGTCCCTTGTTGGGCTACTCTATGTTCTTTAGTGCGACATTTCTACACACTCCGATACTGTTAACTGTTTAGTGTACGTGTACGCGTACTTACGGGTGCCTACGGCGCTGTATTCCTTGATGTCATGTAAGGTTCTCACTTATTTTGCTCTGCTTACTTCTTACGCATAGATGTTTTTACCATATGGTAGCCTCTATTAATCTCGGCTACCACTCATTAATTTCTGCTTGCCTTTCAATGCTTACAAAACTTAATTTATGCAAAGAGCGGGGACGTGCGTATTACGAAGGTTGAAATTCGTAAGGTTTCGTGGCATTTGTTTGTTGCGCTTTTATGGCCGCCATGGCATATTGTTTCGATTTTTCGGTTGATGCTAATCTGTTCGATTTTACCGTTCTCCCTGCGCTCCGTTACGCTTTGGAACTTTAGATGACCAGCGCATCCACATAAATAGCTTTGAGCGTCGAGAGCAATCGAGCGATGTGTTTGAGGTTCAACTAGCTTACTCGATACGCAGCTCCGATATGCGCAGAATGTCTCGCCTTCGTGACTCAGTGGAATATGTGAACGTCAAATTTCGCTGGGCCGGTTTCATGAAGAGAAGCGATGATGAAAGAAGAGCGGTTGAGTGACCCACTGTAGAACTTTTACGGTGCAGTGGAAGGCCTTCTGCAAGATGGGGCGATCTTCGATCACGTTAAGCAGCTGTGACCGCAGCTGAACAACAGCTCACAACGCGATCTTCGTCGGTTGCTGAGCAGCCGTGGCTGGCGATCACGAAAGACAAAAACGAATGATTGTTGCTAGCCAGCATATGAATGAAGGCGAGACGTATAAGTTCGATGCTGCTTGGGCAGAAGATTGATTGTTTCGCAACCTTTCCTAAAACAATTGGTAAGAAGAACTTCAACGTTGATTCAGCGTCTAGCAGTAGAGTACACAACAAAGAAAAATTTGCAATCTGTGGGTGATCGAAGTAATAGTTGTAATATATACGCTTATTCAAACAATCATTGGCCGATTCATGCCCGATCACCGCGAAGACTATTAGATTTTCCATCGTGGTAGTTTCGCTTACTTTCCGTGACATCGTCATTCATTTGACCTCACAAGGAAGGTCTTTCAGGTCGTTTTTTGCATGGTGTAGGAGCATGAGCACTGAGTACAGGGCTATGGTCCGCTTCCGCTAAATGGCCTTCTGAGTGCCAAAAGGGGACTGAAAATGATTTTTCAGAAATTGCCGTTTGAACCCACTGAGCGACGTTTGTTTCATTCATGGCGTCGACTGTCCGCACACTGGAAAGCGCCAGTGGACTGCGCATTGAAAATAACGTGAACGGTAGCCAAAAAAGGGACCCACATATTGAAACGTGTTGAAAAGTGGGGGAAGTTTCATATAAGCTATCCACGGTTGAGCTGCCGGCAGCGACGGATTATGTGGTGGATAGCGATGTGGACTTCTGGCTGGGACGGCTGGGGTGGATTGGTGGTTCGGATCCGGGTGGCGCCGACGTTTTTGCATTTTATGCTGCCACCTCCAGATTGGCTACTTATTGCACCAGAGCCAAAGCAATGAGCCAGAGAGGTGGAGGGGGACGACTAGGCTGGCCCGGCCGGCCACCTAGTCGTATTCGATTCCCAGGCATACTTGGTACCAGCGCCACTGCACCGCCCAATGTATTCTTCCGCATCTCGTTCACTCGTACGACTGATACCAAAAGCGTCTGTTAGGGATAAACCTGTGGCCTGTATGTATGTACGTTGGCCGTGACCTTTAACATTATTTATGTGTGTAATGGAATATTGCAGGGATGTCTCGGATCTGTCATCATTTTCTGAGTACCGGTACCCACTCCATGGTTTTTTAATTGAAAAGTCTATGCGTGTCTTGCAGGCATTAATCTCGATCGCGAACTCGAAATCCCAACGCCTGGCTGAGGTTCCCTCGATGAAATCTAAATCCGCAGCCGATCACACAGGAACCTGTTCATGGACACCTACCGACGAGGATTGCCAACTATGTACTGACTGCGTAGCTCTGCCCTAATAGAGCCGGTTTGATGAAGCGTAGCTGTTACGCGTCAGATGCACCGAAAGACGAACGAGGGGCTGCCTTCTACCACCCATGGCAGCCTCCTCTGGCACGACCGAGAAGTCGCTCGATGAAACGCTGTCCATCTCGAAAGATGGCACCGATTAAAAACGTGAACGCCGGACCAGCACGACCTTTACCGGAACCTGTGTAGACCGAATATCATTCAACCAAATAACCGAATATCAGTGGAGGATATACGGCTACTGTGCTAGGATTTCGCAGAGCAACCACTCCGTTGTTTTGTTTCTCGTCTACAGATGCTTTTTTCGTGGGAGACAACGCGAGATCTCGGAATCAAATCGGAAAATTTCCGTTCGATTCTTCTGATGAAAGCGTCGAAGACACACGAGATAGCGTTGGACTGCTCACTGGTTTCGGTCCCGACGATGATCTCGAGGTGTCTTGAGAGCGAACGACATCCACAAACGATATTCGCTCCACACAGGTTTGCTTATTCTTTGGCCCTGGTGCAATATGGAGACAATCTCGAGGTGGCAGCATAAATTGCAAAAACGGCAAGGCCTCCCAGATCCGAACCACCAAACCATCCCAGCCGTCCCAGCCCGAAGTTCGCATCGCTATCCACCACACCATCCGTCGCTGCCAGCAGCTCAACAGTGGACAGCTTAAATGAAACTTCCCCCACTTTTCAACATGTCAGCCTTTTTTAGCTACCGTTCGCGTTATTTTCACTGCCCAGTCCAGTGGCGCCTTCTACTGTGTGGACAGTCGACGCCATGAATGAAACAAACGACGCTTAGTGGGATAAAACAGCAATTTCTGACGAAATCATTTGCGGTCCTTTTTTGGCATTCAGAAGGCCATTTAGCGGAAATGGACCATAGTTCTGTACTCAGTGGTCATGCTCCTGCACCATGCAAAAACCATTTTAAAAAAGCGTTCCACGCCCTGAAAGACCTTCCTTGTTAGAGCTACAGTAAAAGTAATGTTGAGGAGTAGCAGCGTAATCTTGAACCTCTCTGTTGCATGGTGATAACATTCACATGTTTTCAAGGAAGTGGTGCTTGAGCCTAAGTGGCAGTGTGTCGCACGTGAATGACCTGTGAGATCTAAAGATTTATATAGCCCTACTCAGCTCAGCAATTGATTTTTTCAGAAAACTTATGTAAGTATAATGGCGACGACACGCCATTCACCTTTTCTCAATCATTAGAGTGCGTAAACAGCAGTGGTTTCTTGGAGCGCCCCCCTGGTTTCACCTTCAAGGTAGGAGCGGTCAAATGTTCAACATGTTTCTTTTATTACGTTCATGAATACGATTTCATACAAAATGGTGTTTCTATACAGTTTTTCAGTAAATCGAATAAGTAGCAGAAGTCCCGTCAATATTCGTTTCTGATATTTTCTGATGTTATAGGGTACTAACTGCTGAAAATGATTAGGTTGCGATCTGGAACTACGCTCCAAACTCGCGTAGGCGTAGGTACATTCCTTGCATCCTGCGCTTCGCCAGGGGGTTTCAAGGGAGGAGAGTGGAGGAGTATTTGGCAGGGTCCGGTATCTCCTCCCCGAACGCTGCTTCGCGCTCGCCGCGTACCGCAGAAAGGCGATGGAAGATTGGAACGCGCAATTTGTGATTTAGGAAGCCCTTTAATCATTTGAATTTGTTGGCCGCTTCCTTCAATTCCAATGCGGTTCTGATCGTCGATAATATAAGAGGGGTCAGGTCTAATAGACATTTAGACATAAAAACGAAAAAAGAACAGAAAAAAGCAATCATTCACTCAAAAAAGAAAAGCATAACGAAAAATATTGCGTCCTATCGACTGATGGAGAGGCGGAGAGGCGAAAGATTTGCCGCTCGCCGCAAAGCTAATAAGGGGAATCGGGGGGGGGGGGGGCAGTTCTGTCACCCGGATTTGGCAGGAACTGAGCTGTGGAACTATGTGGAACTTGAAACGTGATAGCGCTTACGGTTACGTTATAAAGTTATGTTGAAGAATGCATCATGTTGTCCTTGATCGTAATGGTATCGATTGATTAGGATCTCGAATACTTCCATGTAATGGATCTACCGAACTTTTTAATTGACGCCTCGAAAGGGTACTAATTGATATTCTCGACTGATACTACTATCGAAAGTCGCTATTTATGGTAGCTATGGTCCTTCTATTCTATAATAGTTAAAAGTGAAATATTGGTCTAAATTCCCAGATTATCAGTGGCTGGATAGGTTTTGTCGCAGTTTATATAAAATTGAAGAGAAAGCGTAATGCAGTATCGAGTTACAAACCATGGTGAGTAGTGGTTGTAATCCGATAGCATGGAGTAAATGGAATTATTACCTTATGGATTAGTCCATAGTCGGTCCTTATCACATCGATTAACACTTTTTGTCCTATTCCACGCGTTTCATTGCTTGAACTATACGCACGTACTTAGACACCATAAACATCATAAATAAGGAAAGAATAAAAACCAAGCGCTTCCGCATTGTACAGCTCCTTGTCAGCACTATTAGCACAGGGCTGTTATTAGTCTGCCACCAACCCTGCCATCCTGTCACACTCCATTTCACCCCTCAAAGCACCAGTTTCACAAGGCTAGCAAGTTGACAAAACTTCGGTCTCGGACGCGACTCGAACCCTCACCTGTGCTCTTTTCCCTTACACTACGGAGACCCCGCTTGCCCTCGCCCTCTTAATGGCTTGCATGCCCATAGCTCATCAGCATACACCCTTATAACGTAATGAGCCGGTCAGCCGATATCAGCATCGAACCGTTAAGCTGAAAACCAAACTGCCAGATCCCCACTATTAGTAAGGGGATGTTATGGACCCAGTGACTCCTGCCTTCCATGTTCCCTTTGCTAGAGTAGTTATTTATTCGCTATGAGATGGTGATTGCTTGTTTATCTTTTCTCCCACCTCACCCGCAGTTATTCTTCAGGTGAACCGATTGCTTTCTCGTAAATTTTGTGGGTGCAGTGGTCTAGAATTAGTGTAGACATCCAGATGAAAATATTCATGCAGGCGGTTTGCGGTTTGGATAGGAAAATCTTTAAATCTCTCATTTACTTACTCACTATGCCTTCGTGACTAGCCGATGCTGATTTCCCACCTGGAACAGGCTCATGAACATGCTGGAATACCATAGTCAAGGGGGAACGCCCGTCTCACGCGTCCGTCGAAACTAAGACACCGCGCACATTTCGCGCGCGGCGCAGCCCACTGCGATATCGAGATGAAATTACAGTACCACTAAGTGTCAGTGAAGCGAATGATTCACACTAGTCCCTGTTATCTTTTCTTTGAGCTGGCTGCCGTGGAACAGGCGCAAATCGGGTGCGACGTTTGTCAAGAAACGCGAGCAGGTGCGCCGCGTGCGGCAGCTGCGGCGTAAGCTAATCTCTGCGGATGCACCTCTAGTCAGCATTAGGGAGAGTATGGCTATTTTTCTTATGCTTCAAACTTCGAGTAGAGTATTCTGTTGAATTGTGTTGAACTTGCCTATGTTTGCTGAGTTTTAAAACACTGCATGACGTGGAAATCTTTTTTTTTCGGTTTCCAAGTGGCTGCCAAATATTTGAAACCTCGATGTGTTTCTAAGAAAAGGAGAGACATTAGAGATAAGCATAGCTAGTCTTGTTTCAACATGGTTCCCCATATTCTATGGATATAACTTGGTTCTGGATAGTTCGTAAAATGAACCTACATATCATCCTTCACTTTAGGAAAGAAGCAACAAACGCTCGTTGGATAAGTCTGTGCAGTGTCCACCAAGAGGCAAATTCAAAGGTTTGTATGAATACATGGTTTTTCGGAGCAGCTCATGTTTCCCTAAGTCTGTGCAGTGTCCACCAAGAGGCAAATTCAAAGGTTTGTATGAATACATGGTTTTTCGGAGCAGCTCATGTTTCCCTGCACTCTTAAGAGCTGGTTTTGCAGCTTCCCAAGTACACTGCTTTAGAATTGACTTTTACTAGAACTTGCCTTAAGTAAGTCCGTGCAGTGTCCACCAAGAGGCAAATTCAAAGGTTTGTATGAATACATGGTTTTTCGGAGCAGCTCATGTTTCCCTGCACTCTTAAGAGCTGGTTTTGCAGCTTCCCAAGTACACTGCTTTAGAATTGACTTTTACTAGAACTTGCCTTAAGCGCAGAGGGGAGATATGTCGTGTCTTTGAAGCTAAAACTTTCTGTGAACAGTAGATGTTAAAAACAAAGGTTCACGAAATGGGGTGCCGTCTACACACCTGTGGAAGTGGCCTTAAGCGCAGAGGGGAGATATGTCGTGTCTTTGAAGCTAAAACTTTCTGTGAACAGTAGATGTTAAAAACAAAGGTTCACGAAATGGGGTGCCGTCTACACACCTGTGGGAGTGTTCGCAAGACCTCCCTACGCGTCGTATTGCTAGGGAGGATGATACAAACTCATTCTCAGGATTCCTTCGTAGTCATGAGTCAAGAACATCACAGAAATTAGCAAGAGTTTAATGGCTTTTAGAGAAATTTATCTGACACTTCTAACTTCAATGGTAAGCCCGATAGGTCTACAACGCAGCAATTAAGTGCGTAGCAAGTATCTCCCATTTAT